GGTGCCCAGCGACATAGCCATTACGCTAACTGCTGGTTCCCGCGCCCGGTGTGAGTTTTAAGCCACCGGGTCCGGGACGTGAACTGCGGTCGACTACATGGGAGTCCAGCGACATAGCCATTACGCTAACTGCTGGTTCCCAACAGCACCCAATCTAACAAGGGGGCCAAGGCGCTCTCTCGGCTCGTACAACCTTGACATCTTTGTACAGGTGCACGGGCTCGTAGTCGATGTTGTTCTTCAGGAAGTATTCATTCACGCACGACAGCAGGGTCATCTCTGGCAGCGAGAAGATGTCCATGAACTGCTTCATGGTGTTTCCGTGAGAACTCTGCAGAGAGCGAGAAGCACTTTAGGGGGACCCAAGACCGTACCGGCAACAGGGCTAGGTACAAGAGAGTGCCAGGGAAGGCAAGAAGGCTTTCCATCTACCTGGGGACTCCGCACTGGCATTCAGAGCCCTCTCTATGACAAAAGGAAAACCCTAATGGAAAGTAGCATAGAATGCTTGCCTGAACCTTATGATTCACCACACAGCTGATGTCTCACTCTCAGCAGAACCGGGTCTTCCACAGGAAAACTCTGAACCCTGCCGCACCCTAAAGTCCAACCACACTTCCTTACACACCCTCCCACGTGTGCGGCGTGTAGCCAACTTCCAGTTCTCACACTCGTGAGACAGAGGAAGGCTGGCAGACAGATGGCCGCCCATGCAATGGCAGCAAAAGCCGCTTAGCTCCTCAAATCAGAGCACCCCTTACAGTCCGTATGTCGGCTCGCAAAAGAGCCTTTCTCTGAATGGTTGTCTTGCTTAAGTTCACTAGCAAACCGGGCATCTTCCATTTCACTTTGACAATGCCAATCAATACACCTAATAAAACCAGAAGCAACAGTTTGGAGAGGGGTGAAGGAGCCACAGAAGTTAGAAAAGCGAAAGTTCCCCTTCAGATAAAGGGCAGCTGGGTACCAGCCATCTCTGTCATTCTGCAGCACGCCAAGGGGTCAGGGGCAGAGGCAGCTGCACTGTGGCCCCTAATGACTCACCCCAGAAAGGCGGCTACGCCGAGACCCAGTGGCAAACAGGGATGGGTACAAGGGAGGTATAAAGAGCCTCCCTAGGTAGGGAGAAATGGTCATGAAAGAACCTGGGGGTGACTCTTAACATACTGTAAATCATCCTCAAACCCAGGTTCTCTCAAAGCACAATCTAGGGCCAAATGGCACAGCGGGAAGTCGCACGCTCAAGGCTGAGCCACATGGGATGGTTCTGCGTTCATGTCCAGAGATCTCCCTGAGTATGCCAGGTACATGCATGCCCTGGATCCAGGGCTGGCTGGGTCTGGGGATGGATGGTGGCATTGAGACCCTGTTGGGGGTGCTCTCTCTCTCCCTCTCTCTTACTCGTGGAAGAAATAAACTTTCTCAAAAATCTCCAGTTTCCTTATCAATTCCCCATGAGCAGTAGGTGAGTAATTAAAGCTGCTGCTGGGGCTGGCAAGTGGCATGGTAGTTAAAGGCGCTGGACTCCCACATGGCCGACCACGGTTCAAGTCTCAGACCTGGTGACTTGCTTTCTCATTTCCTCTCTCTCTCTCTCTCTCTCTCTCTCCTCTCTCTGTCTCTCTCTGATCAAACTGGAAAATAATAATGATAATAACAGTAATAAAATAAAGTTAAAAAAAAAAAGCTGCTGATTCTACGAGGCCACGTTTCAAGAAAGAAAAAGACTGGCTGGTGTAAATTAATAAAGGGCTTCTCGTTACCTTCCCATAGAAGTCGCTCATCTGTTCCAAGGGCACGTGGGACCCCTCGTACATTTCAATGACTTCTTCGTCGGGGACAACACTGAGGCCTCTGGAAAGATTAGACAGCATCATTAAAGAGCTCACTGAGCCAAAGCCATCATTTTCAGACCTCGGCCCGCTGCTGGTATTTTTTAATGGGGGTGCGAGACATCACTGTCACCAAGATGAAGTGTGCCACCAGCAGTGGCTACAAATAAGATACCAGCACTGTTGCTGCTGCTGCTGTTCTACTGGCAACCAAGCAAAAGCGATACTGGCTGATACAGCCCAGCCCCACTGGGGGCCAGGGGAAGTACACTCACCACTCACTTAATGTTCCACAGTCCTAGAAGGGGCACTACTCTTCTTCTCATTGCCCAGCAGAGGCAACTTAGGCACCAAAAGCTCACATCACCTGCTCAAGGTCACCAAAGCAGAAAGGGATGGGTCTGGATCAGAACTCAGGTTTTCTGGCTGCTGAGCCACCCAGAGCCAAGGCTGTTTAATGACTTGCCTTGGGATGGCTCTTTATTTTCTGTTTCTAATACATTAAGAAAGAGAAAGGCTGTTTTTGTCTCTACTAAACTCAGCCTCCTGTCCTCTGTCACCTTTCTCTAGAGAGATGACCCCATACACTTTGTGACATAGAAGGGTATATCAAAAACCAAAGTAACACCCATCACTGCCTGCCTCTGGAGTTTGCAAATGACTCCAGTTCCTCCCAATAAAGGGGATGCCATGACCTTTGGAGTCAAAGTGGACTGGGTCTCCCCGTGCCTGTGCCACCAGCGACAGGGCAGGTGCTTTCACCTGCTCACCTGGACCTGCCCACCCTAGAGAGTCCTAAGGGCAAACACCCACTCCTGTCCCCTTCTCTACAGGGGACTGTGCTTGAGAAATCAACCAACAACTAGGAACTACAGGAGGAAGAGCATGGGCAATGTCACACTGTACCACAACAGGGCATAAAGACTCAAGAGAAACTGTGGTTAGTGATACACATGAGGGCCAGCGGGCAACACGATGGTTGGGGTGCTGGACTCCCACGTGGCCTATTGTGGTTTGAGTCCCAAGTCTGGTAACTTGAGAATCACACCTGTGCATACATGCCCAAAATCCCAGGAGAATAGAGAAGGGATTACAGTGTGGCCAATCCCCCTGGGGGGGTTCACACTTTCTCTCTCACTGTCTCTCTCTGTCTCTCTGGCAAGCACATGTACCCTATGACAAAAAAAACTTTTTTTAAAAAAAAGGATTTTTTATGAAATAATAACAATACAAACGGATTGCAGAGCATACAAAATCCATTGGCCAACACTGAAATGCACATACGATGATACAGTTCATGCTTTGACATGTAATGTTAACGAAAATATCATTTCAATATCGCTCTCCAATCTCCATCCGTCATGTCACTTTTCAAAGTATCCAAGGCAGGGTCAGCAGATGGCATAGTGGTGAAGGTGCTGGACTCCCACAAGGCCGATCCCGGTTCAGGTCCCAGACCTGGAGGCTTGAAAGTCACACCAGACATGTGTGCATGTATGCCCAAAATCCCAGAAGAATGGAAAAGGGATTGCAGCATGGTTATCCATAAGCCCAGCCCCGCGGGGTGAGGATTTCTCACTTTCCCTCTCGCTGTCTCTATCTCTGTCCAGCAAGCACGCACTCCTTATGGCAAAAACCTTTAAAAAAAAAAAAGTATCAAGGGGACTCACTGTCGTGGCTCTGAGCGAGATTAAGCTGGTATAACTGCTGGCCTGTGGAAGAAAAGAAGCTGCGCACTCCCGGAAGCTTAGCTCCAGGGCTCAGATTAGACAGTGGTAGTAAACCAGCTCCTTCCAGACCGTGACCTTGAAAACCAGTTCTCACTGAGTAGCAGCAGGTGGGCACCCATGCTCAGAAGGCCCCACCACTCAGGAAGCAGATATAAAAAAGGGACCCTGCCCCGTGTGCACCCTTTCCCTGCCCAGACCTTCCCAAACTGCTGCTGCCTCTAGGAAACAGGTCTAAGCAACCACGTGTCAGCTCAAGAAATGCGGTGAAACCAGTGGGTCGACTCCCTCCCCCAGGCAGCTCCGGCAGAGGGAAGGCGGAACTGCGAGGCAGGCACAGGCAGCCTCAACATGGAGGCCGGAATCCTGAAATCAGCATGGAAATGCCCTCCCCTCAGCCGATATGGCGCCATGAGGAACAGAGGTTAAGCGCACAGATTTCAGTGAGTCTCTGGGCTCACATCTCAGCTCCTCATTACTAGGGGCATGACCTTGACGAGTAATCCCCCCTCTTGGGTCTCCAGGTTTCCATTGCTAAAGCAGGAACAACAGTGCCTCCCTCCTGATGTTCCTGAGGTGACAGGAGTTACTATAAATAGCAGGGCTGGAATGCATAGCGCTGTGAGTTTCGCTGGGGGGACGGTGACAGAAATGATCCTAGCTTTTCATGAGGTCCTTAGGGAGAAGTTCATACGTGGGCACAAAGCCAGGGCTGTGGTGGAGAACCACCTTCCCTTGTCCTGGCCTGTGGCACTCACTCCCACAGCCATATCATCCATTCTACCTGGGGGCAAGCAGGACGGGGAGCCAGACAGTGGTAAGACTGTGCAAGGCAATCCCACATGAGAAATTTCCAGGTTCATGTCCAAAGACCTCCCTGAGTATGCCAGGCACATGTGTGCCCATGAGCCAGGGCTGGCTGAGGCTGGGGGTGGACTGCAGCATCGAGACCCTGAGGAGGGTACTGTCTCCCTGCTCCTCTCCATTCTCTCTCTTCTCTGTCTTCCTTACTCATGGAAGAAATACAGGAATAAACTTTCCAAAAAAGGTATTTTACTACAGCTTGGTGTATGAACCAAAAACCTGCAGCCGGTCTCAGAAATGAGCAAGGCTAAGGTTGAAATTTTCATTTTACAGAGAAAGAGAAGTGACATCTCTGTGTGCCTACAAAGCTGTGGCACTGTTCCCAGCACGTCTGAGCTTCACAAGTTGCGCCCCGCAGGCAGGAACTGCAAGCATGCCCATTTTACAGAGGAGAAAACTGAGGCTCTGGCAGAGCTGAGAACTTGCTCCAGCCCACATACATGGGAGCGGTAGAGCTGGGGTTCACAGACTCTGGGGTCCCTGCACCCTGTCCCCTCCTGGTTCCCGCTCACTGCACCCCTCTCAGCACTGACACCAGTGACGTATGGCAATGGCGGGGGTGGAAGACAACAAAGGCGAAGGTGTCCGTGTTTCTGAACATTTCCCCAGGCCTTTTGATTCTGTCTTCCACCTCCACCTAAATGCCCTTCCCTCAGCCAGCCCCTCCTAGCACTGGCCCAACTCCTTAACACAAGGGACAGTCTGCAAGGGGTCTTCGAAAAGTTCATGGGAAATGCATACTATGAAAAACCAGGCATGGATTTCAAAACTTTCTGTACCGAAATAAACACATTCTTCAATTCCATTTTTCACATATTTTCAAGCCCCCTCGTGTGTGTAACTAGGACAAAGGACCGTAAGTTGTCATCCGGATGGAGAGGACAGAGAGGCCACTTCAGGCTGAGACTGAGGTGCTGGCCATGAAGAATGGGGGTGGGGAGGATTTCAAGAAGCAGAGAAGGAAAACAGAACCTTCTAGAATACCAGCAAGAGCAAATGCCAGAGGAAAGAAAGCCGGATCCTATTTTTGCCTGGCCAGTGCCCACTCAGTGGCACAGGCCAGAGACAGGACGCAGGTCATCCCAATGAGACTGCTCAGTCTGGAGACGCTGGCTGACCTGCAGAGAAGAAACACTCTTCTCTCAACCTGGGGCTGGGGAGAGGCGAGCCTGGTACTGACAGGAGTTACCACACGAAGGGGCTTGTCTAAGGGTGAGCCAAGACAAAGGGAAGACAGCCCCGGGACAATACCCAACACCATGGACTGGGCCCTGGAGCCAGCCATGCCTGCTACCAGCACTTTCTGGGCTGCACCGTGAGTGAGTCAATATTGTGCTGTTCATTAAGCCAGTGTGAATTGAGTTTCAGTCACTTGGAATCAAGAGTTTGAGCCAGTCCAATAAGTAAAAGTCGTGTGTGGGAGAAGAGTAAGCTAATTTAGAGCAGGCTGACTAAAAATCTAAAGGACTAAGGACTTCATTCTGTAGATGGTAGGGAGCCACCCAGGACTTCAGAGGTAGCTGAGGGCAAGGATTTAGGGAAATGAGTCTAATAATATCAAAGATGAAATGCGGGGACTAGCAGGTGGTGGCACTAGACTCACACATGGTCCACTACTGTTCGAATCCTGGACCTGGTGGCTTGAAAATCACACCAGGCATGTGTGCATGCATGCCCAAAATCCCAAGAGAAGAATGGAGAAAAAGGGACTGCAGTGTGGTCATCCCCCAGGGGATAATTTCTCAACACCCTGCCCCCAATCTTTCTCTAGTGAGTACACAGGTCCTATAGCAAAAACAAAAATAAATAAATAAAAATAAAAAGACCATGTTAAATACAGGAACAACTTTAAGCTTAAAAGCAAGTCTGTTGGGAGCGGTATAGTCTTTCTGGATCTCAGGTAAGCCATTTCTAAAGCCAAAAATGGATGGATATTTCCACCCAGCAACTCTACTTCTACAGATTTTTCTTGATGATGAGACAAGTATACAAAAATGTACAATTTATTTAATAGATTTGTCACCTGGAAAATAAATTTACTCTCTGTTGAGGAACTTCAGTTAATCCTCATAAAGTCAGAAGGAACACACAGCACGGTAGCCAAGAACACAGACTAGACCATCAGACTGCCTGAATCTAAATTCTAGCCAAGACGCTTGTTTGCTGTGTGACCTTGAGCAAGTTCCTTAACATCTCTGGAACCAGCAATAACACCTACTGCATAAAGTTATTTTGAGGATCAAAGGAGTTAACTTGAATAAAAGTGCCTATCCCACAGCAAGATTCACTGTTTGTTAGTCGTTATTTGTTGTTACTAATTTTATGATCACTGGGACCACCTTCTCTTCCTCCTCAAACACCATTAAAATCTCAAATGACAACAAAAACATCAACAGACAAGACATTTCAACAGCATACTAGGAATCAGTGGGCACAAAGGGGGGGTAGCGGACCTAACTAGGAACAGAGAGGCCTGCAAGGGCACACACGCCAGAACTGACTGACCACCCAGAACTTCAGAAAGGCTTTAGAGGAAGCCTGACTAAGCCAGGAAGAAGAAGAGACGGAACTGGGAAACAGGGGACGTGGTACAGGGAAATTTCCGGATAAGCAACCGAATGAGATCAGTGCAGGAGGGGGTAGTCGAAAAGAAAAACAAAAACGGACAGTGTGTGAGCGGGCTGGACACCAGCTCTACTTCGTGAAGGCCAATGCCACCATAGGGCCCATCATTGCCCCCGCCCACACTGCTGCTGCTGAAGAGAAACACCTATTTCCCTCGCTGGAGCAAGAGGCCTTTTTAGGAAAGGACCGACAATGTGGGGAGTCTGGGGGCACTCCTGTCTCCAGCCCAGGGGGTAGGCTTTCCCTTGGAGAAAGTTTCCAGCTTGCTCTAAGGCAGTGTGGAGTTGAGGCTGTGAAGCTCTGGGTCCCCATGGAACCTGCTCTGAGTTGTCTGCAAGATGTCCTCTAAGAAAATCTACAGAGCCATGGAGTGGCCTGTTTTGTTTTCCAGTCTCAAATATTGATCCTGGAACAGATTATCAAAAATGTTTTAATCACTAGAAAATAAAGATAGGCTTGATATTTATGATGGAATGTTTGGAAAAAAGGAGAGATTATCTCCATAGAAAACTAAGCAAATAAAAAAGGGGCTACAGGGACCGGCTCTGTGGTACGGCGGAAACATGCAGCCATAGAGGAAACAGATCCCACATGGCAACTGCACTTGATATCCCCGGCCCAGACAGCCTGAAACGCCGGATATGTGTGCAAGCACACAGGATCCCACAGGCTGGAGGATTAGAAGTCGGAGGTCACAGCGTGAGAAACGCTTCTCTCTCTCCCCCTCCCCCCCCCTTTGCAAACGTGCATACTCTATCAGGGAAAAAATAAAGAATACAATTATTCTATTTTTTTAAGTGTGGCTATTCTTAAATCTAAGAAAAAGCAAACACCACACAGGAAAGAAAAAAAGCAGTGTACTTCTTGGCTGAAGAGTGAACAAACAAGACCTGCAGAGTCCTAATGTAAACAGGGAGTGTTAGATCCTGGAGAAGAATGAGGCTGGAGGTGGGGCCAGAAAGCTAAATCCCCATCCATCACAGCAGGACGGCGTTCAGACTTAATAAATGCGGGACGAGAAGTATGAGCACATTACTTAGAAATAGGAAATAAAAATAACAGGAAAAAAATCTAAAGAGGCCCAGCCAGGGCCAGCCCCGTGGTTCAATGGTTAAGATCCTCATATGGCAGGCCAGCAGGTGCCACGGTAGTTAAGGTGCTAGACTCCCACATGGCTGACTCCCACAAGTCCCGGACCTGGTGGCTTGCTGTCTCTCACTCTGGTGAGAGCACATGCCTTATAGCAAATTTAAAAATAATCATTAGGGGCTGGCAGGTGGCATGGTGGTTAAGAGTACCGGCAGGTGCAATGGTGGTTAAGAGTGCTAAACTGCCACATGGCTGACTGTGGTTCGAGTCCTAGACCTGGCAGCTTGTGTTCTCACTTTCCCTCTCTCCCTCTCTCACTCTCACTCTGTCCCTCTCTGGCCAAATTAAAAATAAAATAATTATTTAAAATAATAACAATAATTAAGAAAAAGAGAGAGAGAAGAAGTTCCCTCTTTCCCATTTTACAAGATAGGAATGAGAAGCCAGATACTAAGTAAAAGAAACCCAAAGCCAAGTAGGCTGATGTCAGTGGTAAAGTTAAAAAGGGTGACCCCCAAGGCTAAAAAGTGCCTGAGAAGAAGCCCCATTGCAGTCAAAACCTGGTCCTAGTCCATGGCATCAGCAGATACTCCCAATCTGCCATGTATTCCAGGAAGGTCGTGTGCAAAAGGAAAAAATCGGCCACTACATCCAGGATTAAGAAGGAAAAGAAGAAAGTCCTTGCCACTGTCATAAAAGCAGTCAGCCGGGACAAGAACATGGTATGCAGGGAGTTAAACTCCACAAAACGCCTAGGGATTAACCTACTGAGGACGTGCCTGGAAAGCTGTTGAGCCACAGCAAAAACCCTTCCGTCAGCGTGTGAGAAAGCTGAGAGCCAGCATCACTCCTGGGGGCATCCCGATCATCCTCACTGGACGCCCCAGAGGCAAGAGAGTGGTTTCCTTGAAGCAGCTGAGCAGTGGCTTGCTACTTGTGAGTGGACCTCTCGTCCCCGCAGTGGCTTGCTACTTGTGACTGGACCTCTCGTCCTCAATTGAGTTCCACTGCACAGAACATACCAGAAATGTGTCATCACCACCTCCACGAAAATGGATGCTAACAAAGTAAAAATCCCAAAACACCTCACCGGTGCTTACTTCAAAAAAAAGAAGCTGCAGAAGCCCACACACCAGGAAGGTGAGATCTTTGACACAGAGGAGGAGAAATACGAGATTACAGTAAAAATCCCAAAATACCTCGCCAGTGCTTACTTAAAAAAAAAAAAAAAAAAAGAAGTTGCAGAAGCCCAGATACCAGGAAGGTGAGATCTTTGACACAGAGAAGGAGAAATACAAGACTACAGAGCAGAGCAAACTGTGGATTCACAAATTTTACCAAAAATCAAAACTCCTCAAAAAAGGGAGAGAACCAGATTCCATGTAGCAACCGCAGTTCAAACCCCTGGCCTGGTCAGCCAGGCAGACACATAAGTGCCCAGGATCCGACAGGCTGGAGGACTGAAGGAGGGGAATGCAGCATGGCCAGGCCAAGGACTGTGCTCAGCTCTCTCCGTCTCTCCCACTCTCACATGGATGCACACATGCTCTATAGTGAGTGAAGAAAAAAGAAAGACATGAACCTAAATACAAGTCAGTCCTAAAGCCTCTTCCAACTTAGAGAATTTAAAAAGGCAAAACCCTCCTAAACGTCACAGAGATTTCTTGCTAGGTAGATTTCTTGCTAGGTATTTATACCAATTCTCACAAACAAGAAAAAAACGTTGTAATATTCAAATCGCCCAATTTTCCTGGTAGGAACAAGAACCCTCCCCACTCCACACCTCCTCGCTAGGGCCCTTACTCAGATGGCCAGCCAACACCTCTGCAAAGCTGGTCCTCCTCCAGAGTCCCCAGGGGTCCCCAGAGTGTCTGAGCATGTCTCCATCCCTCTCTCTGTCACTCCAGACTACAGTCTTTCACCTGTGTGGCTTCCCACCCACATGCTGAGCTCCCTGGCAAGGTCCTTATCACCCAAACCCTGAGCACCGAGGCCTCAAGAAATGCTGTGAGTGAGCGAACAAGTGACAGCACACACACCCTCACCTCATAGCAGCCAGTGGGTCCTGAAACCCACAGCCGCTTAGTTACTTCAGTGAATTAAATGGCTTTCCTCTTCCTCTTACCTGTAGACGGTGCCCAGCTGGATATAATGAAAAGCATCAATCTTCATCAATACTGCCTTTAAAAACAGAAACACAAGCACATGTAAAGAACACACAATCCGCTTTCATGTCCTCCAGTCTTTCCGTCTCTACCATAGAGTGCAGACAGTCTGTATACATTAAGTGGAGACATACAGCGATTGAATGTATAAATAATAATAAAAAATTTTTAAAAAGAATGCACAATTTGCATACTAAATGAGCATCCCCATGTCACTACCAATCTTGTCACATGAGGGTGCATGACTAAAGAAGCACAGAAAGTCTTGCTTGTTAATCAGAGTGCTTATTTGCTATAGGGCACGTGCGCTCGCCAGAGAGAGACATAGAGACAGAAAGCGAGAAATCACCCCTCAGGGGGGATGGTCACGCCGCAGTCCCTTCTCCTCCATTCTCCTCTTGGGATCTTGGGCACGCACGCACATGCGCCCGGCTTAAGTTCTAAGCCACCGGGTCCGAGATGCGAACCGCGGTCGACTACATGGGAATCCAGTGACATAGCCATTACACTAACTGCTGGTTCCCAGAGTGCTTACGAATCTTTAAGGAAATAGTCCAGTGCAAAAGAAAAATTAAAAGTAGGTGTGTCAGAACCTGCAGATAGAATAATGGTCACATTGCTGGACTCCCACATAGTGAACCGTGACTCAAGTCCTGGACCCAGCAGCTTAAAACTCACACTGGGCGCATGTGTGTGCATGCCCAGAATCCCAAGAAGAGGATGGAGGAGAAAGGAGGGTGGCAGGGCCATCTTCCTGGGAGGTAATTTCTCACTTTTCGTCTATCTCTGTCTCTCTGGTGAGCACACACACCCTATAGCAAAATTCTCTCTTAAAAAAAGAAAAAAGAAAAAAAGGGGAACCAGCAGTTAGTGTAATGGCTATGTCGCTGGACTCCCATGTAGTCGACCACGGTTCGCGTCCCGGACCCAGTGGCTTAAAACTCACGCCGGGCGCATGTGCGTGCGTGCCCAAGATCCCAAGAGGAGAATGGAGGAGAAGGGATTGCGGCGCGACCATCCCCCCTGGGGGATGATTTCTCACTTTCTGTCTCTATGTCTCTCTCTGTCTGTCTGGCAAGCGCATGCGCCCTATAGTGAAAACCTTTCCAAAAAAAAAAGATACGTCAACTGGCTCCTCCTCAAAACACCAAAAATGACCAGTGGAAATATATAGCCCCTCCTCTGGATACTAAATACATTCATGTTTTTCTGATATATAGCCTCTTGAAAATGATCTTCTCTTTTTTTTTTTGGAGTGGTTTTTCTTTTTGCTATAGGACGCGTGTGCCTACCAGAAAGACAGAGAGAGACAGAAAGTGAGAAATCACCCCCCAAGGGAGATGGCCACACCGCAATCCCTTCTCCTTCATTCTCCTCTAGGGATCTTGAGTACTCATGCCCAGAGCGAGTTTAAGCCACCGGGTCCAAGACTTGAACCGCAGTCGACTACATGGGAGCTCAGCAACAGAGCCATTATGCTAGCTGCTGGTCCCCTTCAAAATGATCTTCTCCAAAGATATTTTAATAAACTGTCTCTACAGCCCCAATAATTTAAAACCAGTGTACTTCAGCAAACAAAAGCAGAAAAGAGAACATTTCATGTGCAAACGACATCGAACTGTAGAAAACAGAATTCCACCTACCCGCTGTACATCATAATGAAGTCCACGGATTGCAAAATTTGGGTCATACTCATAGTTCCTGATTTCCATCGGATACTAAGAAAGAAGAAAGGAATTGCTTTTAGCAAGCAGTGTTCTAAGGTCAGGACTGTGCCCAGACCTGACAGAAGGCTGCGGTAGCTTAGCCGATGCTCTTAGACATGAAGCTGGGATCACAGGGACAGACTGCAGCTTGTCCCTCTGCCTCCAGGCCAAGAGCTTCCTGGCAAGCACCCCCTAACCAAAGAACCCCCCCCTATCCTGCCTGTGTCCTCTCTTTCTGCCTAAGTACAGGTCAGGTCTCGTCTTCCCCCTCCCAACCACCAGACTTCCTTCATAGTAACACGCCCTGCCCTGCCTCTGCCCTAGACTCACAGATCCCGTGGACTAAACACATGGTCCATCATCCATTTAGTTCATAGGTGAGCACCTCGGTGGAGTTGCCAATGGATGATCCCACTACCAGGCCCCATGAAGACACCCCAGGTGAAGTCTCCTCAAGGAGGTCCCCTCCTTAGAGCTCCCATCTGCTTCTCTTCTGTCCTGGCCGTGCTCACCCTCTGAGAGCCAGGGCTCCCCAGGGCTCGCTGGTACAGCCTCCCTCCCACTCAGACCAGGGTGAAGCTCCAGTATTCTGTCTCAGAACACATGCATGACATCTGAAGGCAGCCCTGGACCCCTGGTATTCCCTAGTGGCTAAGCCATTTTCACACTATGCAAAAGTGCTTTTGGTAAGAAAATAAAAATAGGGTCAGCCCCATAATCTAGCAGCTAAGGGAGCCAGAAATCACATAGCTGACTGCAATTCAAACTGCAGCCCAGGCAGCCTGAAAAATACGCTAGCCATATGAGTGTGCGTGCCCAGAACCTTGACGGGATAGAGATGAGAAGGGACTACATCATGAGCATACCCTACGGAAGGATGTTTTATTTCTTTCCCTCTCTTTCTCTCTCTGAAGAGCACACATACTCTCCATTTTTAAGAAGAAAAACTTAAAAAAAAATTAAGTGGCAGTATTATTTTTAAGAAAATGTTACTTATCTACTACACCAATACTCAAGTGTTCCCTTCCTCCCCAAATCTCAGAATTACAGCAGCTACCCCAGTGACACCACCAGGCACCAGGGACCTGCCGGGTACTATTTCTGCTGGTACTATGGAGCTGGCCCCTCATCCCCATTTCAAAGAGGATATCAGAGGTGGAGGATGGCATAACCTGGCCTGGGCCACATATCTGGGGCATAGTGGGTGGCGAGTCAGGCTCAGGGCTCTGCCCACCTTCCCTACTCACCCCTGACCTCAGAGCACAGGTCTGAAAGGATAAAATATCCATTCTTCAGTCATGAAAAGTCATCCCAGAATCTTCCAATTGTGACATAGCTGCTTCAGCAAAAACCTAAACAACTACGAAGACGCCCAGGAAACCACTTTCCAGAGCCAGGGTCACATCGGTGTGAGAACATTTCCCAGTATCCCATGGCTGAACCACACGTGGCAAGGTTTCAAGTCAAGGCGCACAAGCCCTGACTCAAATGTCACATTGAGGCTCATTTATCTCACACCCGGTACACGCGGCAGGAAATCACCAAACTGGTTTCTCCACTCAGGGGCATTTCCAAGAATTCTGAACTCCTTGTACGGTTCTGCGTTTTGACTGACACACTGGACACAGCTGCTGCAGAACCTACATGTGGAAACACAGCTCCGCTCCCTGAAGTCAGGCCACAGAGCTTCAGCACCTCTGAAATCGTCTTTTAAAAAAATTCTTTTTTAATTTTATAGGGCACGTACACTCACCAGAGGTGGTAGGGGAGTGGGGGGTGAGAAAGCAAGCAGTCAGGTTCAGACCTCAAACCATGGCCAGCCATGTGGGAGTCCAATGCCTTAACCACCAGGCCACCTGCTGGCCTCTGAAATCGCCTTTTTAACTCTGGAGTGATGGATAGAAAAAGAAGTCAGAAGACAGGGAAGATCCATGCAAAATGCCACCAAGAGAGGTGGCTTTGTAGAGCATGGGCTACATGGCACACACAACTCAACGTTTTCAACTTCTCCCTCACCGCGCTGGCATGACAGGGGCAAGGCCTTGTGCCTGTTTCAGTGCTGAAAACTCTAAGGATCTGCATCATGGAACTTGCCCAGGGTCAGACAAATTGCGGACCAACTGGGAGCCACCCTACTGGACATCACCACCTCCCTGTGACAGCACACCAGGAACCAGAAGGGACGGGCAGATATGGATTCAGAGTTAGGAGTGGAGTACTCATGTCTCAGCCGAGAGATGGTGCATGGAAAAGGCAGCGTGTACTGCTGGGGCCAGACACGACACTCTACAAGGCTAGGCCACATGAGAAGGTTCCAGGTTTAAGTCCAGAGACCTCCCTGAGTATGCTGGGTAAGTGTATGCCCACGATCTGGGGCTGACTGAAGGCTGGGGAAGATCATGACACCAGGACTTGTTAAAGGTGCTACCTTTGTCTCTGTCTCTGTCTCGCTCATGGAGGAAACTAATAAACGTTTACGAGAGAGAGCATATACTGCTGAGAGTCTAACAGTTCTTTCTTAGAATGAGGTTTATCTGGGTTCCCTAGCAGGATGGGGTCCCACATGCTATCCCTTCCATGCCGTTCACTCTTGCCATGCTATTCTTAGGAAGGGATTCCTCAGACCATGCCCATGCCCATGGGGTGGTAATTCCTCACTTCCCTCTCTATCCTCTCTGTATGGAGCACACATGCCCTCTGGCAAATGTATTTAAATACACACACACACACGCACACACACATATATATTATATTTTATATAATATATATGTGTGTGTATATATATATATATATATATATATATATATATGAAACATCTTCATTTGGGAGTTTTGCTAAAATTCTAATGTAGGCTCAGCCTGGTTTCCTCCAGTCCCTTGGTTTATTCTAATCCCAGGTATGACCCGGGCAGGCTAGCAGGCACTAATAAAGAATGAAGTATCCCCCTGAAAAGGTTGGGGAAATGTCCTCACAGCTTCAAGAAAAGTCAATGCCAAGGAGCAGCAGGGAATCCAGGAATTCCCCGTGTATACGGACGTCCTGCAGTCCTAAAGCTTGGCCTTGCTCCCTTCCCGGCCCACGCCATGTCTCTGGAGACGGCCAGTAACTTCCACACTCCAACTCCACCTGGAATTCCCGAGGTCCAGGTGACTGCACGTATGTTTCCCAAAGGGCTTGGTAGCTTAAGCAATGACTCTCTTAGAGGCAGGGCAGAAGGGCATGAAGAAAGCTCTCCAAAATCCACGCAGAACCTGAAGTGCAGGTGCAGTGACCTCATCACGGTGCTGGCCACACCCCGTCCACAACACGCTCGCTGACCTGTGGAATTCGTGGATGCACACGTGAGCATTTACTGAGCATATACTGTGTGCCAGACACCATGCCAGGCCCCCAGGTAGCAGCAGAGGAGAAAACTGACCAAGCCGCTGCCCCTAGGAAGTTTCCACCCCACCGTGGGCTGGCAGACCACGACATGGACCATAGAAAGGGTCCCGAGATTGAAAAAACAAAAAGCGAGGTGCAAGTCCTCAGGCTTTCGGGACAGGAAAAGTGCTCCAAGGCAGAGAAAACAGCAGGTGCCAAAGTCCAAGGGGAGGTCAAGGAAGAGCAAGAAGACAGCCTGGCTGCAGCAGGGCCAATGAGGGCAGGTGGGATATGAGGAGGCGGAGAGGAAGCCAAAGGGGCACTGAAGACACCCTGGCTGGGATTGACAGATGGCACTTCCCTACTGTGGCCTTCTGCCCAGAAACCCACAACCCAGTCTAATCATGAGAAATGCCATGGCAACACAACCCCCACTGGTACTCTTCAGAACAGTCAAAGTCACCAAATACAGGGAAGGTCAGGGAAATTGTCCAAGCCAAGAGGAACCCAAGGAGTGAAGAAGACTGTCATATGGTATCCAGGATGGCATCTGGAGCAGGAAAAGGACATCAGGAAAAGACTAAGGAAATCTGGGGACCAGCAGGTGGCGTAGTGGTTAAGGCACTGAACTCCCACATAGTCAACCTCGATTCAAGTCCAGGAACCAGCGGCTTGAAATTCACACTGGGCAGGTGTGTGTGCATGCCCAAAATTCCAACAGAATGGAGGAAAAGGGAGTATGGTGTGGCCAAGTCCTCTGGGGATGATTTCTCACTTTCTGTCTCTTGTCTCTGGTGAGCACATGTACCCTATACTCAAAAAAAAAAGATTGGTCTTTATGTAATAACACATCAATCTTGACTCTTTACCTGTGACTCACCTACCACAATGATGTAAGGTGTTAACACAAGAGCAAACTAGGCATGGTGTATATACACCAAAATTGATACTTAGTTTGAGTGGTAGCAGGAGTGGAGAGTGGACCCCAGAGAGCCCTGAGCAGCTCCACCGCCGCTGCCAGCCTAGTTATCATCACACCCTGGGAGGAGTCACAGCCGCTGCAGCAGGCCCCAGTCATTACCACCACAGCCATGAGCAGCGAGGCTGAGACCCAGCACTGCCTCCCACAACAGGCAGCGGTGCAGAGAGCAGGGGAGGGGGTGCTCGCATCGGCGGCACCTGCCAGCAAGAAGGTATCACAACAAAGGTTTGGGGAACAGTAAAATGGGCTGTAACATCTACTGTCCTAGTGGTGTTCCAGTTCAAGGCAGTGAATATGCAGCAGACCGTAACCATTGTAGAAGCTATCCCCGTCGCAGGGGTCCTCCACGCAATTACCAGCAAAATGATCAGAACAGTGAGAGAGGGAAAAGAATGAGGGATCAGAGAGCGCTCCCGAAGGCCAGACCCAACAACACCCGCCCTACTGCAGGTGAAGGTTCCCCCTTACTACATGTGGAGACCTTGTGGGCGTCGACCACAGTAGTCCCACCCTTCTGTGCAGGGAGAAGTGATGAAGGGTGCAGGAGCACAAGGCAGACCGGGGAGGAAGAGTATGTACCCGGGTTACAGACCACGATTTCGCAGGGGCCCACCTCATGAAAGACAGCCCAGAGAGGACGGCAATGAAGAGGAGAAGGAAAATTAAGATGAGACCCAAGGTCAGCGGCCACCTCAACGTCAGTACCGACGCAACTTCAATTACTGACACAGACACCCAGAGAACCCTAAACCACAAGATGGCAAAGGGACAAAAGCAGCCGATTCACCAGCAGAGAACTCGTCCCTCCAGCTTACCATCTCTACCATCATCCAGGTCAGTCATCCAACAAGAAGTGAATATGAAATTCCAGCAACAAGAAATGAACAAAAGATTGGAGCAGAAGACTTGAGTGCTTGCTTTTGCCGGTTGACCAGATAACTAGAACTATCTGCATTACCTATGCAGCATGGGGTTTTTATTATTTTACCTAAAGATGTCTCTTTTTGGTAATGACAAATGTATTTTTGTAACAAGCCTGGTTTTTCTCAATACACCTTCAAAGGTTTTTAAACTGTTTCATAGTGGTCAAGTTGAGTTTTTTTTGGGGGGGGAGAGATTTTTGCTATAGGGCGCGTGCACTTGCCAGACAGACAGAGAGAGACATAGAGACAGAAAGCGAGAAATCACCCTCCAGCGGGGATGGTCACGCCGCAATCCCTTCTCCTCCATTCTCCTCTAGGGATCTTGGGCATGTACGCACACGCGCCCGGCGTGAGTTTTAAGCCACTGGGTCCAGGACGCAAACCGCGGTCGACCATGTGGGAGTCCAGCGACATAGCCATTACGCTAACTGCTGGTTCCCCCAAGTTGAGATTTTTAAGAACTTCGTTTTTAATTTGTAACAAAAGTTTACAACTGGATTTTTTTCAAAAAGAAGTCAACAAACTGCAAGCACCTGTTAGTAAAGCTCTTAAATAAAAATAAAAAAAAGAATGTGGTATTATCTTTACAGCTTTTCTGTAAGCCTAAACTATCCTAAATTATTCTAAGAGCAAGAGAAGGCCCACAGCATTTGCTAAGAGATCAGACGTGGGCTACAGAAGATGAGCGGCCGGAGCCAACGGGTGTGAACCACCAGGGCCTCAATGGGGCCAACTAATGAGAAGCAAATCCTGACCAAGTGGGAATCTGAGAGACAAAAATTAGGAGCTTTTCTAAAACCTCCTTTCTATTCCTAGTGGACAATGACCTAAAAATGCAGATGCATTTATCACCTGATATTTTTTCATTTCCATTTTTGTGATAATGTGTTCTCGTTAAAAAAAAATGCAAGTATAATTATGAAGGAGCTGGAACTTTTTATATTTGCTTTTTGGAAAGATGCTAAATTGCAGATTTACTGTTCTATTACGGTGCATCTCAGAAGCAGCTGCCTTTCCATCTCCACAAGTACATAAAGTGCGTTCAGTCTTGGCAGGGAAAAATGGCACTGAACTCAGGGCATCTCAGAAGAATTACTTTGTTTCATCAGAGCAAGAGAAAAATCTGCATAAGCATAATTCATTCTATTAATACACCTGATATAATTAGTATTATGTCTTCTTTCTTTTATCAATGCAACAAATATGTGTAATGAGCATGAAATTTCAATGATCTTAAATTTAGAGGCTTTTCTAATCACAATGATTACACCTTTTATTTTATCCACCCACTTCATCCTTTCTCCCAAAATTACATAAATTTTTTATGTTCATAAATGTTTTATTCTCATGAATATTTTATTTACATCTGAACAAAATAAGCATAGGGCAAAAGGTGTTATGAACCTTACAAAAGGCAACATGTAGTAGGGGAGAGCATGTGAGGCCCTTGCAAACACACAGCTCTGAGTTCAAATCCTCACTCTGCCTCCTGCTGGCCTATGACTTTAATCTAGAAACCTAACCCTTTGAGCCTCAGTTTCCTCAATTGAAAAACAGAGACAGCATGAGTGTGTGAGACTGCCATACAGATTAGAAATAATATGAGCGGGGACCAGCAGATGACATAATGGTTGTGTCACAGGACTCCCACGTAGTCAACCGTGGTTCGAGTCCCAGACCCAGTATACACTGAGCATGTATACACACATGCCCAAGATCTCAGGAGGAGAAGGGAGAAAGAGGGACTGCAGAGTGGCCATCCCCCTGGGGGGTGATTTCTCGCTTTCTGTCTCTCTCTGTCTCTTCAGCAAGCACACGCACCCTATAGCAAAAATCTCATAAAAAAAAAAAAAGAAGAAACAATATGAGCATTTATTGCTTCATACGTACCCAGCACTTAACATATATTAACTCACTTAATTATCACAACAGTATAAGGGAAGTGCTTGCTATGCCCATTTTACAGAGAAGGAAACTGAGGCCCACAGACATTTTGTGACTTGATCAAAGATTACATATGCAAGGGTCAAACAGAGGCACAGGGGCAAGGCTGATCCATGAAGAGTTCCAGGTTTGCATCCAGAGACCTCCCAGGTTACACCAGGCACACACATGCCCATGCCATGACTCAGGGCTAGCTGAGGTTGAGGCTGAAGGTGGATCGTGGCATCAAGACCCTGCTGGGGGTGCTATCTATCTTTCTCCCCATCTCTCTCACTCATGCAAGAAATAATTAAATAAATTTTAAAAGGGAAAAAAAGCAATATGTGGGAAATGAGTGGTGAAGGCCAGGATTTGAACCCAAGCAGTGAGGCTTTCAAACCTGTGCACCTGGCACCTAGGAGGCACTCCATAAACAGTATCATTAGAATAATGACCTGCATTTATAAGTGAGATCAGTCACAGGTGACAAAATGTAGTGTAAACCTTGGTTACATTAATAAAAGCATGACATCAGAACAAGGGAGGTGACGGTGCCTCTCCATTCTCTACCTGGTCAGGCCTCACATGTGAAAGGACGAACCACGACGCAGATAGAGGAGGATGACCAGGATGATGAAAATAATTTTTAAAAAGGATGAATGAAACGGTTAAATGGACTAAGAGTGGATGGCCTCGGTAAAGAGAGGTCCCGAGAGCATAACGGCTGGTCAGCGTCACCTCCAGCCCCACTTGTGTTCCGCTGACACTCAGTCAAGTGTGAAACTTCAGTGTGCATGATCTGAGTCTCAGGCTTACATATACCTCCACCCCCGCTCCCTTCTGCAGGCAAATTCCTTCAAGACTGGTCTGAAGGGATCGCTATTTCCTAACTTTTACTCTTTCTTGGAGGTCTTCCAAAAATTCATCCTAACCGTACAATAATGTCCACTGAACATTTTGTAAAATCCAAGATGTAGAAGGGAATGTTAGTGATCGTCCTTTAGCAATGTGTTGGAACATCTTGCTATCTTAACAACCTAGTAAAAAATTCCTCATCATTACCTATGATGACCTGTTTCCCCAATGTCCTCAGGTAGAAAAAGTTTTTCCAACCATCCTCAGGCTCCCTAGCTCTTTGGTGGGATGTCTACAGAAGCCCCCACCACATGGCTTCACAGTCTGTCTGCCTACATGACCAACCCCCCAGTAGGCACTGGCTCTCCACGGGCAATGCCTGTACCCTACTCACCATTATCCTCCCTGCTTCTATTACTGGGCTTGGTACAAAAGCTTAAGGAATGTAAGCAGGAAGGAAGGGAGAAAAGAGATCTCAACAAGTTGCCCTCCATCAGGCTCTCAAAGACTACATTGCTGCTCAACGGAAAATGACAGTGCAAATATCTACAGCCAAATCTGCACTAATGCGTACCTTTTCCAAAGATTAATATAAAGATTTAAAAAAAAGAAAAAAGCAGGGGTCAGCAGGTGACATGGTGGTTAACGGAACTGGACTCCCACTTGACTGACCACTGTTTGAGTCCCGGACCTGGCAGCTTGCTTTCTCATTTTCTCCCTCTCTCTCCCTGATTCTGTCCCTCTCTGGTCAAATTTAAATAAATAAATAAAGTTAAATAAAATAATTCTTAAAAAAAAAAAGCAATTGTCAGGCCAGCAGGTGGCATGGTGGTTAAGGTGCTGGATCCCACATGGCAGACTGCGTGGTTGGAGTCCTGGACCCTGAAGACTTGAAAAATGCTCTGGGCATGTGTGCATGTGTGCCCAAAATTCCAAGAAGAAAATGGAGGAGAAGGGATTGTGGCATGGCCATCCCTACTTCACTTTCCCTCTCTCTGCCTCTCTGCAGCAAGTGCATGTGCCCTAAGGAAAATCCTTAAAAAAAAAATTTTTTTTAATTTTAAAAAAGCAATTACCTACAAGTAAGAGTCATTTGGAAACACTGAATGAAGCAAAATATTCATTCACTTAACAAGTTACTAAATGACTGCTATGAGCTGGGCAGAGGGCACGAAAGCTCAAAGCTGTAATTCAAATGTCAAAGGGAAAAGAGAAGGAAACGAATTGAATATCCCTATGGTCTTACCCGATGTTCATTGATGAGAAGGTCCCGAGCAGCATTAAATATAAGCGTGTGGAGGTGCTTTGAATAAAACACCAAGGTATAATCATAATCAAAGCCATAGATTTCAATATCCGACAGGCTCATTTCGTTGTTTGAGAAAATGGCATCTGGATTCAACAAGTTGTTCATAATTGAAGGAACCAATTCTAGAAGTAAAGAGAAGATATATTACATAATTAATAAGAGTCAGTGGATTTCTAAATAAATGAGTAAACTAGAGCAGCGGCGTGATCTGTTTCATCGTGGAAACATTATGCTGAAATGACAAACAAGGCACAGATAAAGGACAGTAACCAGCATGATAAAGAGAGTTTTTTGAAATGAAAATGGTTAAAAAAAAATAAAAAAAAAAAAAACTAAGAAGAGTTGGCCTGCAAAAAGAGAAGTCTTAGAAGGCGTAACAGCTGGTCTATATAACATCCAGCCCCATTATAATCCATCTGAAAGGAGCCCATCACAAGGACCACACGTTACATGACCCATAAGTAGATTCATGGTTTTCTGGCTCTGCAGGCTTCAGGGTAAGTGGGGAGTGATTGCTAATAGGTATAGCACTTTTTTTTTTATTCATGACAGAACACATGCATGCACATGAGAGAGATTAAAAAAAAAGAAGGAGAACCCTGTACAGAGTCTGGTCATGCCTCAATCCCCTCCTCCAACCCTCCAGCCTGTGGGGTCTCAGGCATTCACACATGTGCCCAGCACTTGAATTTCTTTCTGGGAGCTGGTCCTGCAGAGCAGTGGGAGCCAAGCCCCACCTAGCTGACCACAGTTCGATTTCCAGCCTGGTTGGTTGGAAACATGTCGGGTGCATGTGCATATATGCCCCAAATCCTGATGAGATGGAGCGATGCAGTAAAAAGGATTGCAGGGCCAGCAGGTGGCAAGGTGGTCAAGGTGCTGGACTCACACGTGGCTGACCTCAGTTTGCATCCCATACCTGGTGGCTTGCTTTCTCACTTTCCCTCTCTCTCTTGCTCTGTGTGTGTGTTTGTGTGTGTGTCTCTTTCTGGTAAGCACAAAAGCCCTGCAGCAAATTTTTTTAAAAATAATAACAATGATAAATAAATTCTTTTAAAATCTTTTTTAAAAAAGGTGGGCAACATGACCACACCCCACTAGAAGGTTCTCTCTTCCTCTCTCCCCCTTTGTCTGGTGAGTGCACGAGCCCTCTGGCATGCAGGCACAGGCATGTGCACACACAAACTTTAAAAGTTTCCTTTCGGAGTGATAAAAATGTTCTAAAATTTTGTGGTGATGGTAAAACTCACACCAGGCACATAGGCATGTGTGCCCAAAATCCTGAGAGGACAGTGGAGGAAAAGGAAATGCAGCCTGGCCATCCTTCCCGCCAGGGGGCGGGTGATTTCTCGCTTTCTGTCTCTCTGTCTCTATCTCTCTGGTGAGCACATATTCCCCATAGCAAAAAATCTTTCTCTTAAAAAAAAAACAATACACTGAATGGAAGATCTTAAGCTGGTGAACTATATCATATGTAAGTTATAGCTCAGTAAAACTGCTGATAAAGATTTGTTTCAATATTGCAAAAAAACTAGTATTGTATGTATTTACTGACAATATTTTACTTTTATTTTTCACATCTCTAACAGATTTATTTTTTACAGGAAAGGTCTGGAGAGGGGGAAAAAAACATGGACAGAGAAGTATGGAATAGAAAATATATACAAATGTAAGCTATTCTGCTAAGTGGTTTATAACCACAACCAACTAGTACAGAGAGTGCCCTGCACAAAACACAACACATTTTCAAAGATTGAGGTGTTCCCTTAGCAAAGCTCAAGATCTCAGTGTCTAGTATTTGGAATTTAGGCGGCGGTCCTTGTTACGGATGGATCACTGGGCGTATGGCACCATCCACGCTTTTAACCAAATTTGAAGGGAAGAATTGCCCCTTGGCCCAGAGAGAAGTAGATGAAGTGTCTGGTTTCACGTGTCACATAACTACCGAAGTTCCTCCCCACGGAGCAGTCCAGGTGGGGTGGTGCTTCTCATCAACCTCCTTCTAGATATGGGCCGCCATGTCCTTTTCTACATTACATTTCTCAACGCCTGAGTCGCGCACTCCACCGAGTGCTGTTGCATCTCCTCCTACATGTCCGCATATTTTTTTTGGAGAAGTTTTTGCTATAGGGCACGTGCTCTGGCCAGAAAGAGAGACAGAGAGACAGAAAGCGAGAAATCACCCCCCAGGGGGGATGGCCACTCCGCAATCCCTTCTCCTCCATTCTCCCCTCAGGATCTTGGGCACGCCCCCACACGCGCCCAGAGTGAGTTTAAGCCACTGGGTCCGGGACTCAAACCAGGGTCAACTACATGGGAGTCCAGCGACATAGCCATTACGCTAACTGCTGGTCCCCATGTCCGCATTTTTGATCACAGCCTTTCATTACACATGGTAACCAGGTGACAAGGGCTGACAGCAACAGTCTCCTGGGGGAGATGCTAACACAGCTCAGGCCTGGCACGAATTGCAGTCACTACTGAAGCCGTGGCGCATCTCGCTGACAATATTTTTCTACATATTTTTTACATAGTTAGCCTGACACTATACATACAGATTTGCATTAAGCTCTCTAAATTTAATATTCAATTATAACCATATTCTCATATCATTAGAGACCATGTGAAAATATAACCTTAAACTATTACATACGACTGGTAGGTATATTGAGGTGCCATAAACAACCTATTCCTCTACGCTACACATTTAGGTGTTTTTTTTATTTAATAAAAATAACTGCAATAAGCATCTTCATAAGTCAATGTTTGTCTGCCTTTTAGATTATTTCCTGGTTCATTACAGATGTCATTAAATACTATAAGGGTCCACTGAATCCAATGTTAGTTTTGAATTTCTTTTTTGAGCAGTTCTAACTACCCATGAGGATTGCTATTTTATAACTTTTATTTTTAAGAGGTCTTCTAAAAGATTCTCTCTACCTTATCATAACTTCCATGAGTCCACTGGACTTTTTACAAAATCTAAAACACAGTTAGGATTGCTGTCAGTGATCTAACTTTTCCAATATGCTGAAATATTTACTATTTTATCACGTTAGGAATTCACTCATAATTACTCATCAATTATTGCCACCTATGATTAAAAAAAAGAAGAAGAAGAAGACCAGGCCTACCCTGGTGGGTAGTGAGTAAGCCACTGCAATGCTGGAAGCCACAGGGATGACCACAGGTTTGGATTCCTGGCCTAATTAAAACACACCCGGCAAGCCCAAGATCCTGACAAGCTGGAGGACCGGGGAAAGAAGATTGTGGTGTGACAAGACCCTGTTGGGGATCTCTGTCTCTTTCTCTCTCATGTGAGTGCACTCACTTTGTATCATGAATAAAAATAACTATTTTCTTTAAAAAGGCTAAATTATGAATACAGGAGATCATCTAAGATGGTACAATAGTGAAATAAGTCATCAAAAGATGCAGTTCCACTGCATTGCCCAAAGATTTCTTTTTTTTAAGAGAGATTTATGCTACATAGTGCCTGCACTTGCCAGAGAGACAGAGAGACAGAAAGCAAGAAATCACTCCCTGGGGAGATAAGCACACCTCAATTCCTTCTCCTCTCAGGATTTTGGGCATGCACACACATGCACTGGGCATGAGTTTCAAGCTGCCAGGTCTGGGACTTGAACTGTTGTCGACTATGTGGGAGTCCAACAACTAACCATTATGCCATCTACTGGTCCCAGAATTTCATTATTTTTAAGAAGATATAAAAAAGTCAAATGTCTGAAGATACTACCTTTGCAGTCAATTTTATAGCTTTCATTTTTCAGTTGAAAATACAATTTTTTGTTCATTTTCCACCAATAACAGCAAAAAAAGAAATAAAGGAAGCCAGCTACCTTGCTGACAGAGGAAGACACATGACAGTTTCTAGATGATTTCAGAGCTGACTGCAGAGAGACAGCCTGCAGTTCTCTGAAGACTAACGACAATAGAGAAATCAGCCATACAAATATAATCGCAGACTACGAAGCCTCCCTGATTATATCTTGGATGCAATAGGGAATCGAAGGCTGAATATCATATTTCAAAAGACCAAAAGGGAATATGATATTCTCACCCAGTCATTTAACAGGCAGTCATCGAACAGGAAGAACCTCATCTTGTGTTATTTTGTGACAAGAATACAGACTGTCCTATTTTGCTCAAAGGATATGTAACAGTACCCGTTCACCTGTATGATGTTTGTGCATCAGAGTTTACTGTAAATAGTTCAAAAGTAGATAAATGCTGAAGGGAGGTAACTGAAAGATAGGTGTGAAATAACTAACACATGCACACAAATATCCAATTCTTATCTTACCACTAAAATCAAGCGGTCTTTATTTTACAGTCTTTACATTGCTAGGACAAACATCCAGCTCCAATACAATTGCATAGATTTATGAAGCGCTTGTCATGTGTATGTATTATCTAGAAGATTTTACATTACTTCATTATTTTTTCCCTTATTAACAATAGAGTCCATGCACATGAGGGGTGGGGGTAGGGAGCACCCTCCACAGAGTCTGGTCACACCACAATTCCCATCCTCCTCTGCTTCTCCAGCCTGTCGAATCCTGAGCGCTTGTGCACCTGCGCAGAATGTTTCAAGTCAGTCAAGTCATGGATTCAAACCACAGTTGCCCTTGAGATCCAGATTCTCTTTCTCTCTCTTTTTTTTTTTTTTTATTTTAATAGGATACACTTGCTCACTGGAAAGAGACAGAGAGAAAGTAAAAACTTACCCCTACAGGGGAATGGTCAGGCCACAATCCCTTCCACTCCATCCTCCTCTCAGGATTTTGAGCACACATACACACATGCCTGGCATATGATTTTCAAGCCACCAGGTCTCCAGGTCTGGGACTTGAACTGTGGTCAATCAGGTGGGAACCCAGTGTTGCCAACTGCTGGTCCTCCAACTTCTCTTTTTTTTTTCTTTCCTTTTTTTTTTTTTTTTTTTTGAGAAGTTTTTTGCTATAGGGCGTGTGTGCTTGCCAGACAGACAGAGAGAGACATAGAGACAGAAAGCGAGAAATCACTCCCCAGGGGGGATGGCCATGCCGCAATACCTTCTCCTCTATTCGCCGCTTGGGATCTTGGGCACGCACGCACATGC